AAAATTAGCCAACAAAGGAAAAGGTCTTCACCTACAGGAAAAGCAGTCTCATATATAACAGCACGCAAAATGCTCTGGCTTATTTAACTGAGAACCTTGGATTTTAGAGAGTTTCATTTACACGTACATGGTAGTACCTGGCCTAAAGTAGAAATCTTAGTGAAATAATAAAAGTTTACATTTTAGTTTTGTCTTTTCTTCCTATAAGGACATGCATTTGAATATAATTTTTAAAGAAAGAATTATTAACTTGGCCTGTTCTCAGAATATCTTAACTTCTTGCTTTAAGACAGAAACCTGGCTGTTCCCAATGACACTGCTTCCACCCTGGCCCTCTCAGGCAATAATTTTTTTTTTTTCTAATCGTTTTTCTACCACTTTCCCACTTGCTCTAGAAGCACAATGTGAGCCAATTCTAGGTCATTCCCCCTTCTTTGAAGACTTTAGCTCCTGACTCTTAGCCACTCCTTACATGACCCTTTCTCACATTTTCAATATCCATATAGATACATTCTAATCTCTCTTTAGTCTCCTTACCTGTAGTTACTACCCACTCTAAACTGTCCTGGATAATGTCATTACCAAAATCTCTGCTCTCTGATCTCATTTTCAATAATCTCATCTGCTGACCACCCTTCCTGTCTTAGCCCATGGGCTCTTAATTCTTTGACCTCATCAAGACATAAAGTCTATTGGTCTTTCTTCACTTCTCCTTGATCTCATTCCCTTCATATTCTCATTTAATTTCCATTCCAGTTGTGATAGTTTGACCCTTCACAAGGAGTTCTCCTTTGCATATACACTCAGTTTTCTTTATCATACCTACTTTCTTGTTTTTCTCTCAGAAAAGCTCTGGCTCTGGTTAAACTCAATTCTGCTTGCTTTATGCCTATATAGAGTTTGGATACACTGCCCCAAAATATGCCACCTGAGGAAATAGAAGGTCTCATTGATCTTTTCCCATTCTTTTCTTGAAGCAGCCCATATAAAATCTCTCTGATGTTCCTCTGGAGTTGGTCATAAAACATTCATGCCCTATACCTTGAGGAAGGAACATTCTTATCCTCAAGGACAGAGAGAAGAATCTGAACAAGGAGGCTTTGCTGAGGTCTCCTCAATTATAATTTTTAGGTTAGACACATTTTTACTACAATCAAATTTCTGCATGATTTTCTACTCTTCATCAAACTTAACATAAAAATATAAAATATTTCTTTGGCTCTTCATTTCTGAAGGCTCTTGTGTCACATAATCTTATATTAAGAAAGTTATTTGCCCTTGCTAATTTGTTGTTTGTTATAGGAGTCATAACCATCAAGGTAGGGAAGGAAATATTTTCATCTGTACTCCTGCATCCCCGTCTGAAGGCCAGAAGAAATGCATAATTTTATGGAGTTATCACATTTAAATGCAGATTTCTTTTGGGCCCTTGATCCCACAACTATTTTATTGTTTTTCCAATTGAAACAGACTTACCAAGAGCTTCCACCACCACACTTACCCACCTGCAATCATGCCTTTTTCATTTAACCATCATGCCTTTCTTTTCATTTTAATGTATGGACTACTGTTTTGGCTTTGGTCTTCATTGAAATGTCCTAACTCTCAAGGGCTGTGATGGTAGGAAGTTCAGTCTCTGGATGATTTTTAGGTCACAAAGCTAGAGGCTTCCAAAATAAAAGTAATGTCTTTATGAAAGAATCCCAAGACAGCTCTCTCTTTCCTACTGCCATGAGTGGTTGCAGCAAAACAATAGTCACCTATGAACCAGGAAAAAGGCAGTGGATCTGCTGTACCTTGATCATGGACTTCCTAGCCTCCAGAATTATAAGCAATAAATTTATTTTGTTTGTAAACCACCCAATGTATGGGATTTTGTTATAGTACTCCTAGCAGACTAAATTCATAATTAAGGCAAAGTTCTCTGATATTATGTTACCCCTTCTCAAGAAAATCAGTCCAGCAAATTTTGCTTCTCCACTAGATCATCATCATCAAAATAAAAACATGTGAAACTGTTTTCACTCTGGAATTCTTACTGACATTTCACACATGTTCTCAATTCATCACTACCTCTTCTCTTTCAAATCCATCCAATCAGGCTTTTGCTTATGCCATTCCACTGAAATTGCTTTTGTTGAGATCACAAATGGCCTCTACACTGTCAAATCCAGGAGTGAATTCTCAGTCCTCATTTTTCTGGAACAGCAACATTTGAGAAAGCTGATCACTCCCTCCTCTTTGAAAGATTTTATTCTCATGCTTTCCAGATATCACATTCACCTGTTTGTTCCCTAATTCTTTGGCCACTCCTTCATATTATTTTCTGGCTGCACCTTTTCTCCCAATTTCTAAATCTAAGAATACCCCAGATATGTTGGACTCTTTTAAAAAACTGCATTTAATTCCTAACAATCTCATGTAGAATAATTCCCAGATTTATAAACCCAGGTGAGATTTCTCTTCTGTATTCTGGATACAACTGCCATGTTTTCCTACAATATTTATTTTCAGAATGCAAATTTGATGCAAAGAGATTGATTAATATTAGAGATCAGTTTGTAGCATAATGCTAATTTCCAATTTGCTTTTATTTTTTATTTGTGCCAATTTTGCTTCACCATGGTAATGTATGTAAGTATGTATGGATGTATCTGAGAGCTGAGATTTTAATTGTGTTTTATTTATGTATTTAGCTTGCGTTTGGGGGGTTTGGTTCATTTTTTTTTGGAATGAATTCAGGAGATCCTATGAAGTACAGAGTGATTACATAGAAATTTTTGTTCCTATTTAACATTTGGGGGATAAAGGTCATAGTTCATATATTAGAAGGGATCTTAAAACCATTAAAATATAATTCTAATAGTGAATAATAGGTTATCATTTGAGCTTCACTAGCAACCTACATAACTTAAAATGTTCATATAACAGTCATAATGCTGAAATATTGTGCCTGGTTATGGATTTTTAGAAATAAACTCAGTTGTTAAAAAATAATATAACAGTATTTAAATACTATTGGTAATACTTTTGTTTTGTTGACTTTGTTCCTAGTTTTGTCTTTGAAAATTTAACTTTATGTCTTTATTATAAAGATATAATCCACTTACTGTAAAAAAAAGTTTAGGCTCAAGTAACTTGTTTATCATTTATAAGCCTATTTTATAATGTCACTATTTTAAAGTATACTCTTTGAGGCTTCCTTCCATGTATGAGACCTATTCCTTTATAGACAAATATTGACATGACATAAATAATAACCTTCTCCTTCAGTTCTGCAAGTTTGAAATATTATAGAAATACCAATTTAATTTTCTACATATGAAAATGAGACTTGAAAAGGACAAAAAACAATCTACAACATAAATAAAATAGATGTTTTTAAAAAATACTTGCAAGAAGATGTTTTATTATTCACAGAATTATTTGGCCTTTTATTTACATCTGCTTTGTTCTTATTTGCAAAATGTCATATGCTTGGTTACCCAAAGCTCAAAACTCAAAATATTCTACAGATAGCCAATTTGAAGTGGGGAACATAGTAACTGCTACAGGTAGCTACACTAAGTAGGAAAAGTAACTATAGGAAGTAGGAAAGTAGGAACGAGGTAACTAGATAGAGACTGACATATATACGATGAGGACATTTTGTATGGGGAAATATAGCACTTGTTTTAGTCAAATTTTATCAGTGAAACAAATATCTGACACCTAGAATTTAAAGGAAGAGCAATTATTTTAGTTCACAATTTCATTGGGTTCAGTGCACGACATAGCAGAAAAAGCTGGTGATCTGCTCAACACATAGCAGCCAGGAAACTGAGAGGGAGTAAGAGCCTGAGGGAAAGATATGTCCTCCAAATGCATTCGCAAGTAACCCACCTACTCCAACAAGGCCCCAACTCCTAGCAGCACATTAAGCTATGAACTCATCAATAGAGTAATCCACTGACGACCATAACGCCTCCATGAGTGAGTTGCCTTCCAAAATCTCCACCTCAGAACATAGGAGACTTTGGGGGAAAATTTTAGCTCCTTATGGTAATAGCACTAAACATCTCAATCATTCCCTAATCATGATTTTTTAATCACATTGATGAAAGTCTTAGGAATCACTGAAAGAAAAAAAATATTTGTGGGAGAATTCTCTGAGTAAGAAGCAACATGGGAAATTAAATTTTAAAAAAACATTGAATTTCCAGTTACTAATAATATTCGGCTCTTTAGAATGTCTATTTTCAAAGGATTGCTCTTTAACCACTATAGTTAAAATACTGGCTTTTGTATTGAGAAGTTATTTACAAAGGACTCATTAAAGACCAGGTAGGAAGATGTGTGAATCAAAAGAAGATTGAAATACTTAATCACAATATTGCCCTTTCTGTTTGCTTAATGAACATAAATAAGAGCATAATTGAGAAATTTGTATGCAGATAAAGTGGAAGTAAAGGTAATCATTAGGGTAAGGTCAGAATTCTGCAGAAAATGATGTATTCAAACATGAAGGGACTGAGAGTATGAAAATAAGTAGCTTGTTGCCTCCTTATCATCTTTGACCTGAGCCAACATTTTAATCAAACAGAAATGGGGTCTATGCCTAATACAAACCAAGCCCAAAGGAAAAACTTCTTTCTGAGTCTTGTTTGGATTGCCTGGGCTTTAGGCAAAATGTTGAAAAGACAAGTAAATCCCTTTATTTTTTAATATAGAACTCATAAATAATAACAGAAATGTAGAATTACAAATTAATTTGATAAAGGAAAGTAGGTGTGCCATGCTAGAAACTCTGATATTTTGCCTTTGTGCACATACAAGAACATCTCATTTTTGTTGAGATAGAAGCTAAATACTTCCAGGCCCTTCTCATGACCATGGAGAGAAAAGGAGGCACAGCATTGCCATAGTTAGTAAGACAGAAGATACCTTCTTGAAATACCTTCTTGAAAATTAGTTGAGCAATTCTCATTTGATAAAATTACTATAATTTAAAGAAAAATTACCTTTAAGGCTGTTTTGAACTTCTAAAGCTATATCGAGAGCATTAAAGGGCAGAACTGGTTCATTGGCAATTTGCAAAATCATTTCTCCTGAGAGCTGAAAGAAAAAAGAAAAAAATTACTAGCATTTGGTAATAAAGAGTTCTTGCTTGCTTTTTATTATTTCACATACCTTTTATATCCAAAGTACCAAAAACATGGAGGAAAAAGCATAATTTCATAAAACCTTTTTTTCTATTAAACCCCTTATTTTATTTTTCTGTAAAGAAAAAAGGTTTCATTATCTTTTCATGTCACAGAACAGTATAAAGAAATACAATATCTTGTTTATTTTTTCACTAGAGTATTAAGAAATATCTTCCACTGTTAATGAATTTAGTAAAATTTAAACCAATTATTGTACAACAGTTTGGAACATGATCAAACCAACAGTTGCGAGGAACAACTAAAATTCAATGTCTGGTTATGGATGAAGTAAAATTCTAGACAAAATCAACAATTAATTTATGTCATTGAAAATGTAATTTAATCTAAAATATCCATTAATGTTTTAAGTACTAAAATGCTTTATTCCTATTCATTTTTCCAAAATCTATCAAAACTAATACCATTTATACATCTGTCAGATCCTTGTTTAAATTAAATTTAAAAAATAAAGATGAAAATAGCATCCCAGTAGCTCATACTTGGAATTTTCATTCATACACAACCCCCACCATCCCAATCAAAAGCTGTATTTGAAAGCCAACATATGTCTACAGCTGAACTAGCAGCTGCTTAATTGACTCAACAAGTCATAATCGCTTGTACACATCTCAAAGGACCTGAAGGCTAGCAGCAAATGCCACTGTTATCTGTCCCTCTCTCTCATAAGAGTTATTTAATATTTATCTGAGCTTAACAAATACGCCTATATCTCTTATAACCTGAATCCAGCACACAGGGAAAAGTGGCTGTGTTGATATTATTAATGTATTATAAACTGTGATTAGTGAATGAAAATATTGCCCAGCTAACAGGGAAATCAGTAAAATAACTCGAGACAGCACAGACACATAAAAAAGTAACATACAAGGAAAACATAATTTTAAATATTTAAATCTATCTATTCAACAAGCACCCAATTCCATTTCATATTGAAAATTGTATTTCCCAACTATTTGTACAATTCATGTCATGATTAAAACACTATTCAACTTGATTTTCCATGTGCTTGGAAAAGTATATTTTTTAGAAACAAAGAAGAAAAAGAACTACTTTTTATACTACTTTATTCCTTTAGGGTGTTTTCCTCATAAATATAGTAACCAATTCTTCCCCAGTGCTTACAGTATCTTTGCAGAGTTTTAGCCCCAGTGTGGCGATTATGAGTATCCTGGGAAACTGCCTGCTCTAGTCATGCTGTGTTTCAAGAAAAGAGAATTGTCTGCAGTAGAGTGATATGGATCCTCCTTCTGCTGTACCTACAGTATCCAAATCATGCAAGGAACACTGATATTTGGAAATAAATTGTTTGTAAAAAGGAATTTTTAAAGAAGATTAAGAAGCGTATGGTTTCTTTTTTTCAATTTGCACTAGATAATAGAAAGTACAGAACAGACATGTTTTGTTGACACTTTTGGAATCTGGAAACCACACTTTACAAAAGATTAAAATGAAAGAAGGGGGAAGGAGGACAAAGGGGACTTTGTGTACTGCTGGAGAAGGTTGTTTTGTTCTTCCTTTTTTCCCTTTTTCAGCGTCATTTAGCAGCTTCAGTAGCTAGAATATAAGCCAACCACCTTGCTATTTCTTTCATAAAGAAGCTGGCATAAAGAGTGCTACTTTCAAGGCACCTGGCTCGTGATAGAATGCTCAGACTAAATCAGCTATATTTGTAGCTTCATAAGCAAGAGGGAGATTTGTGTACTCCTAACCATACTGTGAGCAAAGATGAGCCACCCTGCATGTCTTACATGCTCTGGAATACAATCTTCCTTAGGAACACCTGAGCAACTTTTCCTTACATTTATAGTGCAGCCTCATTCTTTTCAAAGTGCATTATGCCTACATAACATATTTCATTACACTGATAACTCTAGAATCTATGTCAGGGGAATCAACAGTCTATGTTTAAAACATGGAGAATGAGCTTCACTAAGAGTTAAAATATTGGTAAAACTAAATTACCAATAATCAAAATTTACTGAGCTCCAACTAGATATGAGATGCTGCTCAGAAATTTTCAAACATCTTTCCCTTTTAATTCTCACAACAGCTCAGCAAGGTAGGCATTATGTCCCATATTATAATGAAACTGTGGCTCAAAAAGATTAGGTACCTTCATTAAGAAACATCCCTGATCCTTAATGATTTGAAGTTGTAGGCTTTGTTGTTATTGTAATGTGAAGTCTACAAGCAGCAATCAAAATATATGGTGAATAACAGTGAAAGACACATTGCCATTAATCCCTCTCAAAATACTCCTCCTTTCTTTGAACACAGGACATCATTCTCACCAATTTCTAAAGAAGTTCTGAAAGTTCTCTCTCCTGACTGTCTTTCAGAGGTGGGATAAAAAATACAGTGAATGCTGCCCCCACTGAGTACCATTTAAAAGAAAGATAGAATCATTAAAAACATTACAGTGTGTCTTCATCCATCATATTCAGAGGATATAGATTTTTCCCAAAGTCAAAGTGATCATGAAAGGTTACAGTTTGAATCAATTCAGAATATCAAGGTAGCTACAATAGAGCAATTAAAGACAAATGAAAGAAGATTCCCAGAACTGCTTCAGAAAGTGGCAAGACCAATGGGATAAATGTATTGGAAGTGTGAGGATTATTTTGATGGGGATAGTAGCAGTGTGCTTTTTCTTGTAATATTTTTTAATTAACATTCACCATATTTTTTATCACACTATGTACTGTTAGAATCTAGGAAGTCTGTTGGTTTTTCATAAAGAACTAAAGCTAGACTCTAAATCCTTTACTTCTTGTCCACTGTTCTTTCTACTACAACATTTTCTAATTTTAAAAATCTATATTCCTTAAAATATTTGCCAGTAACTGCAATATACAATCTCAGCCTCTAAATAGTTATGACATTTGGATCCTAATAAGGCACTGTTGGAAATTTTCTTTTAAATACTTGTGTAGGAAACTAAATCTCTAATTCATATGCTAATAGTATTTGGAGAAGGGCCCTTGCCAAGTAATTACAGTTAGATCTGGCCATGAGGGTAGACCTCCACCAAGGAATTATTGACTATAAAAAGAGAAACAGAGACCCAATGTTGCATGCTTTTGGACTCTGTCTTGCCAGGCAGTACTCTTTACCATGCTATGACCTAGTAAGGCCTTCACCACAGGCTGTACCTTTACATTGTACTTCTAGTCCTTGGAACTAGAAGCTGAACAAGCTTCTATTGTTCATAAACTATTCAGCTTGCAGTATTTTGTTACAACATCACAAAATGGACAAAGACACTGTAGCACATAACATTAGCAAAGAATGATCCAACATCTGTGTAATTCCATTACAAATCTACAAGTATACAATCTGCCTTAGGACCCTTGTACCCTTACTTCTCCACTCCTCTAAGACAATCTTACTCATGTTCATAAGATAAAGAATAAATTTGAAAGAAAACACATTGTATAAAACTAAAAACAGTTTAAAATATGAATATAAATTAGTACAGGCAATATAAAAACTAAAAGTAGACCTACTATTTGATCCAGGTATGCCACTCTTTGGTATTTGCCCTAAACAATTAAACTTAAGTACACTATAAAGATTATTTTGGCTCAATTCACAGTAGTTAAACTATAAGAATAGCCTTGATGACCATCAGGGGATGAATGGATGAAGAAAATGTGGTACATATACACAATGGAGTATTATTCAGCCACAAAGAAGAATGAAATCATATCATTTTCAGTAAATAAAATAAATGGAATTGAAGATCATGATAAGTCAAATAAACCAGACTCCAACAAGTATTGCATGTTTCCTTTTATATGTTGAGTCTAAAGGATGAAAAATAAGAGGTGATATGAAAGCAGAAGGGAAAGTACTAGTGAGGATGAAGAGAATCAGAGGAGAGTAAAGAAAAACACAGGGAGAAGTAATATGGAGTGGAAAAGATCAAATGCCATGTAAGAATATGCCAAAACGAAACCCTTTATTCCACATTATTAATATGTACTGATAAAAGATCAGATAAAAAATATAAAATGAGCCAATAAATACAGCTTGCAAAAGGTTTTAGTCTCTCACAAAATGTCCCTAGAGATAGCATTTGCATTCACATTACACAATATTAGATGATCAAAAGACAAAAACTATGTAGTCATCTAGATTTTCAGGTTAATAAAGGCAGACTATAGTTACCTCATATAAAAGTTTTCTTTCTTCAATGTGAAATGATTCTCTTGTGTTTAAGGATTCAAGAGTATTTAAAGAATCAATACAATTTTGCTGGGAAATTAGATACACATATATATAAATGTTCACATATATACTAGCACATACATTCATTTATACTTTTTTCTTAAACTTAGTACTTAATAATAATCTGTCTCCTTGTGGCCTTATAGGACTCTGTGGCCTTATATCCTCCGACTTTCTCAAAAAAAAATTTTATATCCATTAGGCCAGTCTGAAAACGAAAAAAAAGAAGATATTTATTTCTTAAACTGTGAATGTCTAGAGCACAGAACTACTTTTCTGCCCTAGTTATAGTAGCTCATTGTTCTTCATGGTGACTGTACTTCCAATAAATGCTTTCAATGGATTTATTAGTTAATGCTCAGACAAATAGTGGGGCATAGATTGTTTCACTAACCAATACCAATGCCATGGCTCTAAAGTTTAATTTCTGTTTATGTGCAGGCAGGCAAACTCAGTGTTTGTAGTTTGTTCCATTTTTATAGATCCAGATTAAAGTAACCAGACTTCATATCTTTTATATAAGCTGTAAGTTAAACTATCATTGTGGGATTTTTTTTTATGTCTTCAGTCAAATTTAAAATGCAGTACAGACCTACTATACAAGTTGATGCTGTGAGATAGTCATAACACCTGATTTTATAGGTTAACCTGAGAAAGACA